GCCGAGGTCATTTCCAGCTCGTGATATTGGGCCGATGGGAAAGGTTTCCGGTGAGAGATTGATTATTGTGATTTGATGCATTTTGATGTTTACGTGTGACTTAGTTGTTATTCGTGATTGAAGTATTTGTATGTGTGAATAATCTACTTGATACTTGAGATTGACGTACTTGATTTGTGCTAGTTGTTGGATTGCGACTATCGGGATGTGATTATTCAGCCCTGTGAGGTGTGCATTGTAGAACTGTTAGGTTGGACTGATTTCTGTGTAGTTTGTAGTTTGAGGAGGTTCGGTTGGAGTCTCGGGGTATTCAATTTCTAGCTAGATGTATAGTTTATCAGGTTGCTTGTTGGGTACCGTGTTGTTGATACTCACTCATTGCCTCTACACTTGTGTAGGTTCCGAGCCCGATATAGCGTGGTTTCTCTTCTTCTCACTTTCTGAGGCTTGTTGAAGGACTTGAGAAGTAGTTGCTTGTTGTCCCGAGGGGCCCTCTTTTGCCTTTTCTTTATGCTTTGTTCTATTTGAGAAACAATGACTGAGACTTGTACTTATTTCTTAATTCCGTACTTTATGTATTTAGGACCCGTTTGGTAGGAGGTATTAATCAATAGTCCATGGATTAAAATTTAGTCCAACAAAAACATTGTTTGGTTACTTCATATAACCTAACCATATATTAGTTATATCTTATACAACGTCTTATTTTATCCCTAGAAAAGGGAGGGATAACTAATCCAAGGTTTAACAATCCTTGGATAAGACCCCTAAGGGGTCGTTTGGTAGGGAGTATTAGGAGAAATAGTCCTTGTATTTTGTGTGGTTTTATGTAGTACTATGTTTGGTGGGAATTTTGGACCCATGTATAACTAATCCATACACCCTCCATGGTATTATAGGGTGTGTAACTAATACCTTCCATTTGGTGGTATTAGTAATACATGGATCTAATACCATGGAATTAATATATGTAAAGACAAAAATACCCCCTCAAATCCTTTCATTTTGTTTATTTTCTTGGTTTTATGTTTTATATTTGTACTAATAAATTTATTTAAATTGATTAGCTTACAAACTTTATTATTTAAATAGAGTTATTTGTAGCTAAAATATGAGTTATTTAATCTAATTATTATTAATATAAAATATTATAATCGTACTAATATGCTAATGTTGATGTATGAATTTAAGAGCTATTTTTGGTATTTAAAAACATCTTGAGTATAAAAATAGTTTAATTTATTTTATTTTATTTTATTTTATTTTATGATAAAGAGCGATTTTGTATGATAAAAGTCCTAAGTTGAATAATTTTATTGATGTAAAACAATGTTCAATACCTTTTTTCTATAAATTTTTATAGTTGTGTAACCTTTTAAGATATTAACTTTAATTTATTAAGATGACAATTATTTACCCTCAAATAATTTAAGTGAGAAAATAGTGAGATGGTGATAAAGGCTATAAAAATAATAATATTGTTCGTCAATTATCTACCTTGACCCAATTACATGAAATAAAAAATCTCATAAAAACTCAAAGGTATAATTAGAAAAAGGTTTTTTTTGTAGAGTTTTAAACCCCACACAAAATTAGGTAGGAAGCAACGAACCAAACACTTGATAAAAATAATCCCTGCATTACTAATTCCTTCACTATTGATCTTTGTACCAAACGGCCCCTAAATGACTAAACTATCTCAAATCTTTTTTTCCTATTTTTTTTTGTAATTTAATGTTCTTTTTTATTTATATTAGAAAAGTTCAAATATTCTTTTAAATTCTCCAAATCCGTTCAATATAATTTAATGATTTCATAAACTAATATCTTTTTCTCCATGTTTGATTTGCTATATTGGATTGATTTTTTTTTCTTTTTAAAAAAAAAATGTAGTTTGTTGATTAACCACTTGAACAATTTATTATTATTATTTTTTTAAAAAGAGTCTTTTATTTGAATAATTTAAGTAGCCTTAAATCTATGTTGATTTAAGGTATATTTGACCAACAAAAAATTAGAAATATATTGTGCTATCAAGGATCTCCATAATGGCACATCACAGCTCAAAATTAATGGAGTAATATTTTTTAAAATATATTTTAGTATTTAACTTGACTAGTTAAATGAAAGAGAAATCTCATAATAACTCAGCGGAATAATAGGAAAGAAGTTTTTTCTAGAGTTTGAAACCAAACATAAGATTAAAAGTGGAAAGCAATGAACAAAACACTTGATAAAAACTAATCCCTGCATTTCTAAACCTGCATTACTACTAATCCCATCATTACTAATCCATGCGTTAGTAATCCCTGCATTATGCATCTTTGTACCGAACGATCCCTTAGTGGCTTGTACACGTGACAACCGGTTTTTGAGGGTTTCAATAGAATGAATAAGTTTTCCGCTTTATCTTGTTCTTGCTTTATATTTTCGCATTTTGAGCCTAACTTTTCTTGGTAGAAATAGATAAGTGTTATCACGTTCATTTTTGGATCGTGACAATTACATTAAGTAGTTCGAAAGTAGTACAAATTGTGGACTCTATGCTCATTAACTACATCAATTGGGGTATATAATTCGTACATTTTCATATATATGGATTTGCCAGCATCAATTAGGATTCATATTCGGTATAATTCTGTAACCGGACTTTTATATGATCCATCAATCTATATATTTTTAGATCGGTTATTAGTATTTGATCATTGTTGAAATGTAACTGAGAAGTATCCATTTTTAAAATGGACAATAATATTTAGATAAAAATATTCCTAGCTAAAATACAAGAGATAAAATACAAAGTTACTCTTGAAATTCCTATATTTCAAATTGTATGGGTATAATAGAAATTTCTAAAAGCTTTCATGTTTTAGTCTAGGAGTAGGATCGTCCAAATAATGTGTTTTTATTATGCAAAATGACAAACATCTAGATTATATTATGTAATATAGCTATAGTTTTGATTATTTTTAATCAATGGTTATAGTTTAGCGAAATTTTTCTATTCAGTTTCCTAATTGTATAAATCCAGAATTTATATAATTTGGTTCCTGATTATGCAAATTCATAATTTGTATATGCTTACCCTAACTATTTGTATACAATTTATGAAAAAATCATAATAAATTACCATATTTGTATATTGGCAAGCGAAATATACAAATGGAGTTTTGAAAAATTTCTAAATATATAAATATAGAATTTGTTTATACTTACCATATTTGTATATTTGCAAGAGAAATATACTAACCGCAGCTTTTATTTGTATATACTTACCATGTTTGTATATCCACAAGTAAAATATACAAATTGCAACCTCCATAGCAAAAGGAACTATACTATGAAACATAATTACCAAAACTATAGCTATAGAGCCTTATTATAATTATCTTTGCTATTTATGAAATTTTCTCTTTCAATAATCATACGTCATGAAATAAAACAAGCATGATAAGCGTACTCACCAAACGACATATAATAACCAAATTTGTATCTCATAAACCAAAAATATTCTTTTAGAATAGATTTAAATTTTATAATTTTCTCCCTCTCTTGTGAATTTATTCAAATACTTCTCCCAAATTTCTCAAATCTTCTTATACATAGTATGTAGTAACAAATATATATATTGTGAAGGATTAGACAAACTTTCGGATATACATGTATAGTGAAGAATCTCCTTGTATCAACAACAATATTGGCCCAGCTCCAAACCCTAGGTTAGGGGTGACAATTGGACAGGTTGGGTAAAAATTTGGACGAGTCATAATAGGTTAAAACAACAATTGGGTCAAGATCAAATCTAACCCTAATTTGCTTGGGTCAAAATGGTTTAGGTAATGGGTTACATTACGGGTCAAGATCCAACAAAACCCAATTTTTAATAAACTTAATTGTTTTATTTATTCTTTTAAATACCTAATAAAATTATTATTTTTCTTTATTATGGCTATATGCAACATATCAAATTAAAAAATAAGTTTTTTACATATTTCAACAAGATTTTTCATGAGCCAATTTAGAGTACATAACAACCAAATTTTTAATGGATTGAAATGGGTTAAGTTAATGAATAGACGAATCAATAACCCGCTCAAACTTAAACAATCATGCATACAGGGTGTGTTTGGTATGAAGGAAAACATTTTTCGAAAAATGTGTTCCAATTTTCTCATGTTTTGTTAGATTAAATGTTTTGGAAAATGTTTTTCAAATCAACTCATTTTTCCTCAAATTTAAGGAAAATGACTCCCCTTCAAAACTTAAGGAAAACATTTTCCAAAACTCTCTTTCAACTTCAAATTACAATTACTTTTTTGTTGAAAAAATCAATTTATTTTGTCCCTACCCTCAAACCAGCCCCCCAACTACCCCCCCCCCCCCCAAAAAAAAATTTTAAGTTTGTTTTTAAAAAATATTTTCAACTTCAAAAATTCATTTTTTTCACCCTACCCTTGACCCCCCCCCCCCCCCCAACCCACCTCCTAACCCACCCCCCAAAAAAAAATTTTAAGTTTGTTTATTAAAAATATTTTCAACTTCAAAAAATCATTTTTTTCACCCTACCCTTGACCCCCCCCACCCACCTCCTAACCTAGCTCCCCCCCCACCCACCCCCCAAAAAAAATTTTAAGTTTGTTTTTAAAAAAAAATTTCAATTTCAAAATTTCCCCCACCCCCAAAAAAAATTTAAGTTTGTTTTTAAAAAATATTTTCAATTTCAAAAATTATTTTCTACTCTCGTAAAAATAAAAGATATTTTTCATTCATAAATCAAATACTAAAAAACAATTCTACTCACCAACCAAACATGAGAAAATAAGTCAAAAATTAACTTGTTTTCCAGGAAAACATTTTCCTTCATACCAAACACACCCATAGTTCTATTATTACTAGCCTTCCATTACATTATACACAAACTTGCCTCCAATTAAAAATACATATATATAATTAAAAGCAAGAAAATCCTCACACAAAAAGTTTTGAGAAATAAATAGCAATTTTGACAGGCACAACTAGAAGCAGCAGCAGCAGCACTCTTCCAAAATACAGCAACAACAAAGAGCGGCCAAACTGCAATAACCAATCAAATTTTGTTGCTAATTCCAATGATAAAAGATTGTAATAAAAGATTGTGATAAAAGATTATCACAATACATGTGATAAAGATTAAAAGTTTATCACATCAAATCTACTAGTATTTCCCAACCATTGCGATAAAAGATTATAAGTTTCAAGAGAAAATCTGAGCTATTTCGTAATAAAATCAATTGTTATTAATGCATGATTGAAAAATTGAAAAATGATAATAGTATTTAAAAGTACATGTTGAATATTGAAATTATGCATTCATTGAATTTTTGGTAATAGATTTATAATTAAGAAATGAAATTAAAAAAAATAATAGAGCTAGAAAAATTATTGTATGAGGTTTCTATTAGGCCACATAAATTGTTTTTATGTGATTGTCATATTATTATATATCTTTCTTTTCCCAAACCATTGATTTTCATTATGCAAATGGTGATCATCGGGTATTTGATGAAAAAAGTAGTGTAATTTTTACCCGAGCCTGTTGAGTGTTTTATCTTAGCAGAATAAAAGAATTGGTTTTTTGGATGGATCTATTATTCAGGAATATTTTACTGTCACTGATTTTAGGAGTTCATTAGTTGTGGGTCAGTTTGTTGTTTATTTTAAGGAATTAGTTCTATATGTAATCTCTATTTATTTGGAGAGACTTCCATCAATAATATTCAACGAAGTTTCTGATGTTGTTGTTTACTCAATTTCTATAGTGGTATCAGCGTTAGACTTACAGTGACATGTGAGTAAAAGAAGCCGCAGCTTACTTGGTATCTTGTAGCAACTAGCAACAAGTGCTCATGGCATCAGAGCAGGACCCGTCTCACCCGATGTTGGGGAAAATCAAAATTGCCCACGCACCAGATGCTAAGCACTGGGCGTGAGGTGGGGTGTTAAAGAATGACAAAAGTCCCACATCGGTGGTTAATGAGATGGGTGGACTCCTTATAAGGCTTGACCAATCTTCTTCCCTTTGAGCTAGCTTTTGGGGTGTGAGTTAGGTCTAAGACCTAATTTAACAGAGACCATTCTTCAAAAGGATACCTCAAAGCTGATTTGCAATTCAATGAAGGAAAAGTATGCCGGTACAACAAGAGTGAAGCGGCAACAACTTCAAGTCCTTTGCAAAGAATTTGAAGTTCTACACATAGAAGAAGGGTATTCAGTAGATGAGTACATCACCAGAACATTAATCATTGTTAACAAGATGCGTGTTTATGGTGGAAAATTGAATGATGTTGATGTTATTGAAAAGATTCTATGATCTATATGTCTTCCAAATTTGCATATATGATTTGCTCTATTGAGGAGTCAAAGAATATTGATACAATGTCAATTGATGAACTACAAAGCTCTTTACTATTACATGAGCAGAGTATGACACCTTCTCCTACAGAATACCAAGCTTCGAAAGTGGAAAATCAATATGATTCTTCTAACATGAATGGTTTTGGAAGAGGTCGTGGTAGAGGCAGATGACATGGGAGAAACATGACTTCAAATTGTAGAGGAAATGCACGTGATAATGGTCAACACTATGCTTATAATGTGACATTTGATAAATCACAAATAGAGTGTTAGCGTTGTCACATGTATGCCCACTATCAGTCTGAATACAAAACTAATTTGCATTCATACAAGGGAGATAGAGAGAAATCGAATATCGCGGAACAAGATGAAGAAAGAGAAGAAACTTTGTTGATGGCTTGCCTTGCGCAAGAACAATCTCATTCAAATAAGTGGTATCTGGACTCAGGTTGCAGTAATCATAGGTTCCGTAACAAATCTTTGCTTTTGAATTTGGATGAATCTTTTAAAGATAATGTCAAGCTTAATTAGAAATAATTATTGTATTTTTGTTATGGGACAAAGCACTATTAGATTGCAGGTGAAGGGACATTTCTTCAAAGTTGATGGAGCTTTTTATGTTCCTGAATTAAAGAACAATCTTTTTAGTATAGGGCAGCTACTAGAAAAAAACTAGAAAATTGTTATCAAAGAGGGTTATTGCACAGTACAACATCTACAAAAGGGAACAATTTTTGAAGTTAAAATGACAGTCAATCGGTTGTTTCCTTTACACAGTAATGACCAAACATGCTCGATGACAAAAAATGATGGATTCTACATGATTATGGCATATGTGTTATGGACACTTCAATTTCAATGGTTTGAGAACCCTGCAACAAAGGAACATGGTTGGTGGTCTTCCCCAATTCAATGTTACTATCAAAGTTTGTCAAAATTGTGTTATTGGTAAACAACATCGTGAATCCTTTCGGGTAGAAAAGGCATGGATGCCTAAGAAATTGTTGCAATTGATTCACTCAAACCTTTGTGGTCTAATCAATCCAGCTTTGAAAACAAATAAAAGGTATTTTATATCTTTAACTGATGACGATAGCATAAAGACGTGGGTTCAATTTTTGCAACAAAAGAAAGATTTTTTTAGCTCATTCAAGGTCTTTGCTGAAAAGGAATCGAGGAAGAAAATCAAAGTTCTTCGAACTGATCGTGGTGGTGAGTTCAAATCCAATGAATTCACAAGCTTTGGCGCTATGAAGGGAATTCGAAGGCAATTGACAACAACTTATACACCACAAAATGGTGTATCTGAGAGGAAGAATCGTATCATTTTGAACATGGTAAGATGCATGTTGACAGGCTGTAAAATAAATTCTACGGTATATTCATAATACTGTAGATGTTGGCTTGGTTTTCAAGCATAAAAATAGTCAATATCTTGTTGGATATTGTGACTCAGATTATGCAGGTAATTTGGACAAACAAAGATCAACTACTAGCTATGTTTTCACTATTGCAAACGCACCAGTTGGAAGTCTACTTTGCAGTCAACAGTTACTTTGTCTACCACCGAGGCAGAGTATATGGCAATTACAGAGGCTGCTAAGGAGGCAATTTGGCTTTAAGAATTGTTTAAAGAGCTTTGTATTGGACAAGAAGGAATCACAATATTTTGTGATAGTCAAAGTGTTAGTCAAATAGCGAAGAATCAAGTTAATCATGCAAGGGTGAAGCATATTGACGTCTGATATCATTTCATACGAGACATCATAGAAGAAGGTGGAGTCATAGTAAATAAAATTCATACTACGGATAATCCTGCCGATATGCTGACAAAAGTGGTGATTGCGGTCAAGTTTCAACATTTTTTGAACTTGATCAACATTGTTGAACATTGAAGATTGAGGTTGAAAACACAAGCAAAAATTGTAATTGAGAGAAAGTTGAAAATGGAGAATCTTGCCAAGGTGGAGATTTGTTAAATTTGACAAGATTCAAAAATGAATTAATGTGAAGATTTGGTGGTTAGGAATATAATTCTTCATTGGTACAAAAGTCATGATAGCAACTTTGTAGGTGAAACTTAGGTAAATCATAAAATGGTTTCACAAGTTAAATCTTGATATTTTGACACATTGTGATGTCACGAATGACATTTATAGGAAGAATTCACTCCTATAAATAGGTAGCTCCTAATTCATTTGTAACACACCTTTCAAATGCCTTCTCATCTTCAAAGACATTTGATTTTCTTTCTATCTTGTAGTATTTCACTTGTACTCTTTTGGAGTGAAATAAATATTGGTTGTTGCGGAAGCCGAATATATAGAGAGCGATGAAATCACAACTACTATATCTAAGGGTAGCTAATAATTAGTAAATGAGACAACAATAAAAAGAACACCAAAAATTTACGAGGTTTGGCAAAATTTTGTTTTCTTTTGCCTACTTCTCGGACACAACCAACCAATATTTATTTCACTCCAAAAGAGTACAAGTGAAATACTACAAGAGAGAAAGAAAAACAAATGCCTTTGAAGATGAGAAGGCATTTGAAAGGTGTGTTACAAATGAATTAGGAGCTACCTATTTAAAGGAGTGAATTCTTCCTATTGACATCACAATGTGTCAAAATATCAAGGTTTAACTTGTGAAACCATTTTATGGTTTACCTAAGTTTCACCTACAAAGTTGCTATCATGACTTTTGTACCAATGAAGAATTATCTTCCTAACCACCAAATCTTCACATTAATTCATTTTCGAATCTTGTCAAATTTAACAAATCTCCACCTTGGCAAGATTCTCCATTTTCAACTTTCTCTCAACTACAATTTTTGCTTGCGCCTTCAACCTCAATCTTCAATGTTCAACAATGTTGATCAAGTTCAAAAAATGTTGAAACTTGACCGCACTCACCACTTTTGTCAGCATATCGGCAGGATTATCCGTAGTATGAATTTTCTTCACTATGACTCCACATTCTTCTATGATGTCTCATATGAAATGATATCAGACGTCAATATGCTTCATCCTTGCATGATAAACTTGGTTCTTCGCTAATAGAATAGCACTTTGACTACCACAAAATATTGTGATTCCTTCTCTTACAATACCAAGCTCTTTAAGCAATCCTTGAAGCCAAATTGTCTCCTTAGCAACCTCTGCAATTGTCATATACTCTGCCTCAGTGGTAGACAAAGCAATTGTTGACTACAAAGTAGACTTCCAACTAACTGGTGTGTTTGCAATAGTGAAAACATAACCAGTAGTTGATCTTTTCCAGTATTATGCATGTACCTGCTTACAACTCCAACAACAAGTGAAATATTTGGCCTTGTGCAAACCATTGCATACATCAAGATACAAACAACATTCGTGTATGGTACTCTCGACATATATTCTCGTTCAGCTTCATTCCTTGATGACATAGCATCACTAAGTTTAAAATGAAGAGCAAGTGGAGTGCTAACCGATTTCGTTTTCTCATTCATACCAAATCGATTTAGTACCCTCTTCAAGTATTCTTTCTGATATAAATATAATTTCTTTGAACGTCTATCTCTTTTTATCTCCATGCCAAGAATCTTCTTTGCTTCACCCAAATCCTTCATGTCAAACTCCTTTCTTAGTTGAATCTTTAGCTTCTTAATTTCCTCTTTACTTTTAGAAGCTATCAACATA